GCTCTGTATTTCTCATGGTATTTTTAATCTAAAGCTTTCACGATATTCATTTGAACAACATGTTAATTCTACATGTCTAGACTCCAAGGTAAATATTTGTTATTTAAAGCACAGAAAATTTAAGTATATCAATATGTTTGTCTTTCGTATGAAGGTGCACGCATATTCAATTTTAACTAATTTTACTAATGTGAATGCATCGATGGTGGTGGATGCAATATATGAGTACTTCACGGCATATTATGTTCCAAACTCCTCGAATTTAACAATAAGGCCAACTACGTTAGACGAAGCATTTACTCGGATAAATATTCCCATTAATGGTACAGCAGAATATGAAATAATTCTAATATCGGTTAATGCGGCTGAAGGATATATAGGTGCATATTTTAAGGAAACGTCACAAGGATCAACGCTAAAAAAAACCGATGATTTAACGAATCTTAATCTTATTAATTCGTCAAAAGTAGCAGCGAGTATTAATGGAAATGATTCAGACAAAATATCGTTGTTGAAAATGCTCATCATACATAAACCAGATTATATAAAAACGAACGAAACTGAAACAAACGGTTCAGTTGTAGTGTCGTCTGTAGTTATGGCTGACGCAAAATCAAAAGAAAATGTGAACGTATCTGTTTCTCTACCACTAACGGTATATTTTACAATCATATACAATGAGAGTGTAACAAATAAACACTATTCATGTTCTTATTGGAATAATACATATAACATATGGCAAGAAGATGGATGCAGCTACCAAGGCTACATGTCAGAATATAGTGCTCATGTTTGTTTCTGCTCTCATATGACAGTATTTGCTCTTCTATTGCGACCTAACACTGTGATATCTGTCATCCAATATTATGTATCAATAGCATTTCTCGCAATGTCGATACTCTGTTTTATCGTCATTATAATTCATAACATTACAACTCGTTTATTTTCGATGAATAATTATCATATCAGTGTGTTACCGTTGATATCGATGTCAAGTACAATGATTTTATTCGTATTTTTTCTCGCATTAACGTTGACAGTTAATCCGCGCGGGAACCAAATACAAAACAAAACAGTTAGTCGGGCAGCACAAAATGAATGCAAAAAATGTTTCCCTAGTGCGAATATTCTGATGTATTTTGTCTATTTTTTGCTATTATTCATGTTCTGCTGTAAAACATTAGTCGGTTATTTAAATTATTTACATTTTGCTTATCCATGGCGGCGAACATCACATAGACGGTTGTACATACTGTTGATAACTTCGCTCGCTATTTCGACTATAGGTATCAGTTTACTAGGTGGTTTTAATTCAAAAATTTCTTGTTTATATTCGAACATTTGCTGGTTTAACAAGTCGGTCATTCACTACTTTATGACAATACCCGTCGCTATTTTTTGTATCATCAATATTATCGTCATTAGTCTCGTTGCAAAACATATAATCAGCCATGCTAGACGAGCTGCAACTGCACATCAAGCCCACAATCGACAGAAAAGAGTTATTTTAGTTCTGTTATCATCGTGTATTACACAAGGTTTAGGATGGTTATTAGGACTAGGGTTAGCACCTCCAAATGAACGTGCAGAAACAATCTTATCCTGGATATTTGTCCTATGCATTGCTCTTGAAGGTGTATGGTCAATTGTGTTCTACATTTTTATTCGGCAGGAAAGAGCAGCTGATTTCAAACGGAAACAATACATGGCGGAACAAGACACAGATCATGAGGATAGTTCGAAAGTACTGCAAAATATTCGACCAAATCGGAATGCAAAACGTGAAAGAAATTTCCTTAGAGAGATGCATTCGATAACAGAAACCTTATATCCTATTGAGAAAATTGATGATACATACAATGGTTGATCAATCTAATTTATATTTCTTATTGAATGTTTTTCAGCAATTATATTCAAAGTTTAGGACATTTTTTATTTTTTAAAATTAAATATTTATGAAAAAATAACATCAATACGTAAATCACCAACAAGAGCAGTACATTACTGATTGTCAATAAGGTCAAAACAAGAATGAAATTGTCGTTCAAATGAATATCGTGAAAGCTTTAGATTAAAAATACCATGAGAAATACAGAGCAAGCACTGGAATCAACTTCAAGTGACCATGTTTATTGTTTATATAAAAGTTGGTAATGAACATTCAAATATGCAGGTCATTTCAGACTGTATATAGATAGTGCATTCATTCATTGTGCACCAGGCGTCATTGCTATGTTCATCAAAAATCAGTACAGAAAGGTGAAAAAAATGCACAAGGTTAGTGATAGTGCTGCTGTCCCCTTCAAGAATAACTGTTATATGTTGCATTTGATCTGACATCGAGATAAATTCAAACTCAAAGTAAGATGGGCGTTTACAGAGATAATATCAATTTCCTAGGATCACATTTAGAATATCTCTATCTCGACAGATCCGAAAATGAATGGTGTATTGAACACTCATCTAATACATCCTTTCTTCTAAATTTAAGTAACAATGAACTTACAAGTCTCAGATGGTCCAGATATAATGCGTGTTTTTTTGTTTTCTGTTCTTCTCCATATAGTCTCAACCTTTTTGGAATTTCTTTTTACTAAAAGATACGTCGTAAATTCTCTACAAAATCAGACAGTGAGGAAGGATATCCCAAACAGAATATATTTAACATTTTTACGGCGAAAGAAATTTCTGCTATATTCCGATCGGGATATAAAGCATGTGTCTCTACAGCCATACCTAAACTTTAATTTCAGTCCAAGAAAACTATGCAAATTAGACGAAAGGAGATAAAAATGAAAACTTTGTAAATTTGGTATTTTTTTCGACTTAAGGTTTTTCTTCTGCTATTATTCCCATAAAAAAGTGTACCAAAAGTGAGAACGCAATTACTTTTGTACTTTTGAATGTACTCTTACTCGTGGTCTGTAGAAAATTTTTTTTAGAGTAGATGGTATGCTGGAGAAAGAAGTTTCAAAAATATGTCGGAAATTGAAAAGCCCCGTTTCCAACAGCAAGAAACGGAAAACATAATCGAAGTTTTGATTTTGTAGTTAGATGGAGCAGAGCGATCATTACAGATCAAAACAAAACAGACTCGATAGAAAAATCTTTTGTTTTGATGGAGTTATGGGACTTTTATATACCCAGAATTTATATAATTAATGAAAAAATGCGCGACAGCCGATAGAAAAATGATTATTTCTCCATGGATTTTGATCTGAAAAAATGTGAACGGTAGCTAAAAGTTAGAGCGAAGTTAGGGGCACAGAACAGCTGATCCAGGTTTTTTACTTTCAAAGCGGTAACACAAGAAACCGTTTTTGATTATTTATTTAGGTATTTAAAATTTAGGTATGGTTTTGTTGAGAATTTCATGGCGCATCTTTTGCTAAAAGAAATTTTAAAAAGATTCAGACTTATGGAGAAGAACAGAAAACAAAAAACACCCATTATATCTGTTTATATACAACCCAATGAATAAATAAAAACTTTCAACGCGCCGAACTTAGAACTCTAGGAAAACAAAGATAAATGAAGGATGTGCGTTAGATAAGTATATGTTCTTCAAAATGATCTTAATATAACACTAATCGATTATGACCTGTTTCACCTAATTTTCCAACTTCATCAGTCGATAAAGCTGGTCGTAAACTGTAAAAAATCCCGTATTTTACACAATTCTAACTGTTCGGCATTTTCACTCCCGAACTGCAAAAGGCTCATCGGCAATTTTTCAGAATACTAAAGGGTTTATCATCGATACAGTTTATTAAAATACCTTTCCTATCTCTAAAAACACGTTTTCTACAAACATAGGAGGGATCGGAGTTGCATTAATAAACTGTAAGGGTACTGTATTTTAAATAAAGAAACCTTAGATTTTTCCATAAACTTTTCTGGTGTTTTAATAAACTTTCTTTGAACGGTACTTGATAATGGGTAATTTTTAATGCTGATCATGAATTTTGTACTCGTTCAACCCCATAAGGCCTTTCAGAACTTCTGTTTAAACTCTAGGCCACTAGAAGTCTATCACAAGTTCTCGTCTGACCAACAACCTGGGTTAATGAGTATTTATGATCAGTCATCAACGTTCATTCAGTCCAGAACATACAGATGATGCTTAAAACTATCCCTCAAAGAAATTTTATAGAATTCTGGAATGTTATCACAGTCTGTTACTGATGTGCAGCATCATTACATGAAACGTTAAACTAAAATTATTTATTTGGAATTGACGATACTAACGATTTAGTTTATGATTAATTGCTAAAATTGAAAATAACATTCAGAAATTAGAACATGAAATATTCAAAAGTTTTTCAGTTTTCTAACACTCATAGATAACAAATTAAAAATCTATAGAGATTGACCGAATTGAATAAAAATGAGTACACGTAGTAAACAGCTTCTAAAAACAGCTTTATAACCATGTATAAATATCACAAAAATACATTTTGGTTAAGTTTTGAATTACGGGCACCTTACATTTACTATTCTTTACAGTGAAAAAGAATTGAAGAAAAAATAAAATAATAAATAAAAGCAAACATAAGTCTTCCGGGTATCATATAATAAAATTTTTATATTTTACAGCTCGATACAAAACAAATATTTTTACTTAAATATTTAAAGGAAATAACACATATAAGAACACAATGATTCTGTTTTTCCAGTGAACAAATCTGAGAGTAATAAACTATGTTTCATGTATATTCT